GGGGAGGAAATCAAATAAAACTTGTCCTTCCACCTGGACCATTTGGACACTTTGTCCAAAGTCATTAAGTATTGGGGCAAGGTAGTCAGAGTATACCATGCCCCATGGCTGCCTGGAGCCTTGCTCAAATAGTGCATGTGAGCGAAGGCCCAGAAACTGGGGTTCCAGTTCTGAAACTCGCAGGCGGTGATGTAACTTAAGATATTCACCCACGAGTTAGGGGTGAGCTGCCAAACCCCAAGATCGTACCCCTTGAGGATTTTCCTAATCCCGGGGTGGAGAAGGAACCGGAGGCCGGCTTCGATAACCGCCTCGTAGCAGATGAAGTAATCATCTGCATGATCAATGTCGTCACTCTAGGCCATTACAGGCCTTTTTGGGGTTGGGATTGTCGCGGCTGCTGATAGTCAGCTGCAAAGTCGGAGCCGGAAGATTCCGCTCTTGATCCTTGGCCTGCCTCAGCACCGCCGGCTTGGCTTCATTAGAGGAGGCGGCTCCCTCGCCGTCTACCTCTCTTATCCCAGAGCTCCCGGAGGTAGAGGGAGCCTCTTCGTCAGATCCGCTCTCCTCCCAATCCCTCTGTTCCCCTTCCGGGAAAACCTCATCGACTGGCACTCTCATAGCGCACCGGCTCCTAGACCGCCTGGCCGTCTGTTTCGTTCTGGCCATTGTGTCCTACACAGACATAGAGAGGGAGGAATTCGGAGATGAGCATATTGGTTCCGACAGTTCAGAAGATGCACCCCCTGTTCCAGACTCGGCCGTTCCGGGGGATCGGCTAAGTGTCCTAGGCAGTGCCGAGTGGGTGGATTGGGAACCCATTTATATTCTTTAAAAAAGCCGGATATACAGGCGCAAAAAATGGTATACAAATCGAAAGGGAGGAAAAGCTAAAATGGTACAGGCGGTTACCTCGCTTTGACTCTGGAAAATCTGAAAACCGCTACAGCCGGTGAGTCGGGTGATGAACTGCTAGCACTCGGAAGCTTGAAATTTGCTGTGACGCAGACGGGAGCAGAGAAATCTCTCTTTTTCTCTCTCTAAAAAGTCAATGTGAACGTAAGGTGTGAAAAGGAGGGGGGTAACTTTCTATTTATAGAAAGTGAAAGTGGGGGGAAAATTTTTGATTTGAAATTCAAAAATTTTACCCGTTACTGTTCACCTATGAAAGGTGGACACGTGTCACAGGCCCCACGTGATATGCACGTGCGACCTGTGAGGGGCAAATGTTTGGGGTATTTATACCCTAACACGTGGACCAATGAGAGGACGCCACGTGTCGAGGTCAGGATGGCCCATGTGGCTCAATATCCTCTTGACACTTGGCGCCCCCCAGATATGCCTCTGAAATGGCGGCCTTCAAGGGCCCAAATCCCTAGGAGAGCCGTAAAACGGCGCAGCCCACTAAAATCTAGGTCAAGTGACCTAGGTAGGGGCACATTTTCCAACGACCCTATAAATAGGGAGATATTTCCCTATTTTGGGGACACATTTGATCATTTATTACACCTGTCATCAGAGAAAGACCTGAGCTTGGAATCTGAGCAGATACCCACCTAAATTTCCGTTCTCTTTATCCCGTTTCAAGTTACTAACTTGACCGTCGGAGGCGGAGCTCCAACCACCCGGAGTCTCCGTTATTTTGCAGGTACAGCTCAGCCGGATCAGAGTTCGTGACGTAACTCTCCCAAGGGACAAATAAACCCAAAACAAACTCCATGGATCATGCAAACGTTGCACATGTGAAACTTTGATTGAGTTGGATATGGAATAAGCCAGGGTTCATTTACGATGGTTGAACACATCTTTTTTTAATTTTTTAATTAAACTTTGTTTTTGTTTTTTTTTTTCGAAAAATTAACGAGTATAATCCTACCTTTTGCAAGTTTTCTCAAAATAGTCTGAACTTGCAAAAATTCTGGGAATACCCTTTGAAGCTATCTTCTTAAAATGGTCCAATTGACCTACAACCTAACTATTGGTAAATATTTTTTTTTTTATTTTTTCTTATTATTTTTTTATTCTTTTTTTGGAAAAAAAGTCCTAAAGGACATTATACTTCATTAATGAAAACTATACGACATCTACAATTTACAATTAACGATTATGAAAACAGATTTCACAAAATCAAAGAAGAATTAAGTGGGGAAGGGCTAAAAATCAAAATACATAGATAGAACAATTTGGCACATTCTCATTCGTTGTCTCAAACAACTTTTTGAGTGGATTCGTCGTCGCTTTGATTGTGAGAAAGAAAATTCTTGTGCTGATGTCTTAACTCGAATCCAAGTAAAAATCAATCGTAGCCCCGTGCAACTACATACCTATTAAGCGCAAATAAAACCTTGCCTTTCGAAGGAGATAAACCCTTTCTTTCGAGGGAGACATTATTATAACCTAAGAAACAAAAAAACGTAAAGGAAACAAAGATTGGGGCTTTCCATCCGTAAAATCAGATAGAAGCTCCTACAAAATTAACAATAGAGGTAGGGTTTAGGAGAGAGAGAGGAGGCTATTTAATGTGTTCATTTATTTGTTAACTATTGGTAATTTTTTTATTAATACTTTTATTCCTCATCTTTATATTCTCTCTCTTCACTTCGGCAACCTATGCCCCTACACCACTGCCCCACCAACCCAATCCATCCTCCCTGAAACCAACCAACCCTCTGCAACACCACCACCCAACACCAACCTTCAACTAATAAAATTACCATCTACCAACACTTCCACCATTAATCGCCAAATGCCAACCCTTACCTAACAACAGCACAATCAACAACACCGACCCTTCCTCGTCATTAACAAAACAAAAACAAACTCTAGCCCCAACCACCATAATGCAATGAACTACACAACCAAATTATTGAGTAAACAGAAATGACAGAAGTTTGTGGAAAGACGAGATTGATTGATAAATTAAAAATGTTCCAACTTACAAAATTAATGGCTTTAGGCCATTACTCTCTAAATGCCTAAATGTTAATTTCTGAATGATTGTTTCTTTGCCAGTCCCCTTCTGTATAAAGGCCTAACTGTCAACTGTACACAAATACAGAGCTTTAGTTTCAACTTTACAACAATTACTTCTACTTGTCTTCATTTCATGGGCCAAAATAACAGCTGGCAACTGCTGCAGCTTTAGGGTGTTGTCATATATTTTTATAGTGCGTTGTGCTTCGCCTTGTGCCACCAACACATACCACCCATCCTACATAGGAACAGCAGAAGACAGCAGCACAAGGGCGTTCACAACCCACAAGAGAGCCACCAACAACATCAACAAGCAGGGGACAACTAAAACAGCTCTATTGGAGCTTATGGCATGAAGACAAAAATATTTCAGATAACAATTAAGGCTAAGTCACATGTAAAGTGTAACAAGTTAAATAGGAAGTCTGTAGGAGGAAAACATTCATTCAGAAAAGTTTGTAATAGTTAGTTAGCCATAGTTTGTAGTAGAGAACTCTTCAAAGCCTTTCGACTATATCAATCCAATCAACCGTCTTCTGCCATTTCTCTCTTCTTGTTGTTTGAATTTGTCTGAGTTAGTGCATTGTCCGTTGCATTGTAGTTGTGGATGTGTGGATGAAAGGTGGCCCTCCTTGAGTCATTGCACATGAGCACAACCAGCCACGAAACCTCACCCTAATATTTTAACAAGAACGTTGTCCCTTGCTCACCATTAGCAACCTGAACTCCAACCCCAACCACCACACAACACCCACCAACCACAAAACCTCAACTTAACCTTCACTCAACCACCCTAACACAACCCAAAATCGAACATCCTTGTGGTTGAATTTGAATGTGGTGGTATCAGGACCCACTAGCGAAATCCGACCACCATAGGCGATTTTTGTTGAGTGATTGGTGTTGGTTTTGAATTCCATGTTAGTTTTGGTAGGTTCGATGGGAGTGGAGAATGTGTTTGGTGGCTTAAGTGAGATTGAGATTGAGATTGAAAGGGCTAGGTGGTGGTTTGGGAGGGAATAGAGAAAGTGGATGGTAGTTTCACCGAGGTTGGTGAGGTTCGGTGGTGGTTTCGATAAGGGTAGAGAGGATGGATGGTGGTTTTAAGGTTGGTGGTTTGGTGGTGGTTTCGAGATTTATGGTGTAGGCTTTGGTGACGTACGATGAGATCAAGTGGACGCTTCAGTGGTGATGATGAGGAGTTGGTGTTTTTGAAGAGGGAGGAGGAGGAGGTGGGAGGGATGGGATGTTATTTTTATTTTCATTAAAATCAAAATTAAAAGCTAGACCAATTAGAATGAAACACGTGTCATGTTCCCTGCTATTTTGGTTGCAATCAAGTTAAAGTCCTTTTAAGAAGATAACCCGAATAGTTGGGATTTTTGAAAGTTACCTGATTTTTGAAAGTTCAGTCCATTTTGAGAAGACTTGCAAAAGGACGAGATTGGGGGGGGGGGGGGAGGAGGAGGAGGTGTGTTTAATTAAAATCAAAATTAAAAAAAATGCTAGACCAATTAGAATGGAACACTTGTCATGTTCCCTACTATATTGGTTACAATCAAGTTAAGGACCTTTTAAGATGATAGCTCTAACAGCTGGGATTCCCCATTTTTTAAAGTTCGGACCGTTTTGAGAAGATTTGCAAAAGGACGAGGTGGGAGGGAGAGGAGGAGGTGGGAAGGGCATGCAAAAGGCGAGATAATTCTTCTGAATTTTTCCTCTCTTTTTTTTTTTTTCTATGTTTAAATTTGGCTTTGCTTTAGCTTCTGTTTAAGAGTTAGTTTCTGGTTTTAAGCAGCATTTATATGGTACAAGAATATTTCAGTTTCTGTTTCAATGCAATGGCTGATGCACTTTTTTAGTCAGTTGCATTTTTTTGTCAATTGAAATGTTCTCATGCATCTTGAAGTTTCTCAGGATAAGCGAGTTCCAGTAACTTGTCTGTACACGTGAGTTTCTTTGTTTATTCACATGATATGTGTATCAGCTGCTTATATTAGTGCTCTTTGCTCTGGCTAAGTTGACAGTTATTATGACAAACCGGATAATGCAAAAGATTTGGGTGGTATCGATATTGGAAAATATGTGGCTGGGGGCATCGTTGTCTTCAACCTTGACACAAAACAAGTTAAGTGGACTGCAAATTTGGATCTGAGCACAGATTCAACTAAATTCCGTGCTTACATATATTCTTCACCTACTGTGGTCGATCTGGATAATGATGGGAATCTAGACATCCTCATTGGAACATCCTTTGGATTATTCTATGTGCTTGACCATCAAGGTAAGATCTTCGTTTTACTTTACCTTTGTATGGTTTTTTGTGTTATCACATATAGAAGAAAAACTTATAACTTAAAAAAAAAAAAGGGATATGCGTAATCCGTATCTGTTTGTTATGGAATTTTGGATCAAATTTGCATATTCTTAAATTAAGCACTCTCCTTTTGGAGGATATAGTAGGAATCTTGTGATTAATTTTGGTTAAGTCGATGAGATGCAATTCTTCAAAAAAATTGTTTTTCTGTGCATTTTTTTTTTTGGAGATCCATTAGCATATCCATGTATCTATAGTTATTAAATGCATATTGACTCTGATTGTGAGGTGATTTATTAATTAATTATCATTAGAAAATTATTGTTGGTTTAGCTAGTTTGTTAGAACTTAAAGTGTGTATTAACTACTTGGTTGTTTTAAGACATTATTTTGCAACTTCTTATTTTCGTACTTGATTTGTTGTTTGGTAAGTGGACTAAATTCAGTTCTACAATTTAATCTTAAATTGAGCTTCTCGCCCACTTAGTTTTTCTCTCTCCACTTTTAATGCACCTTAATCTCCTTGCAAACGGGAGAAAAGGAAAGAGGGAGTATTTGTGTACTATAACAAGAGTCTTAATCGAACCTTGGAATTACAACAAGAATTGAAGTAGCTAATATGCTAAACTACTACTCCCTCCGTCTCATAATACAATGCATCTTTGGATTTTATACGGGAATTAAGAAAGTTGTTGATTCCTTAAAACTACTGATTAGAAGCACATATGTGCATGTGGGGTTAGCAAGAGATAGAGAAAGAAAAGGTAGGTGGGAATAATTGAAGAGATAGAGAGATAAATTAAAAGTACCAAAAAGAAAAGGAAAAAATAAATGACAACTCATCAAAAAATTGAATTGTATTCTAATATATAAAATTTTAGGCAAATACAATATCCCTGGAATAGTCAGCGTCCAGTGTTTGAAAAGGCGCGACTGAGGCGCGATCAGGGTGAGCGCTTCTTTTTGCATGGGCGAGGCGTTTTGGGTTAGGCGCACAAAAAGCGCCCGAGGCGCACTTGAGGCGCATTTCAGCCAAAAATTTTTAACTGCCAATGTAGTGCGCCTCACTTCGCACTGTTAGGCGCACCTAGGCGCAGTAGAACCCATCTCCCTTTAGTGCGCCTCCTGCTTTTTTATACATTGTCAGCGCCATTAATATTGATCCTTTCACGCCTTATAAGTTAATTAGTTGGTATCTGTAATGTTTATGAAGGTCAAACAGTCTCTCATGAAACCTGGATGTTTATTAGTCTAATAGATTGAATGAAATAATTTTATCTAATGAACCAAAGTAGATACACTCTATTTAGGAGATTTAAGAATTTTACCTGCCCTCATAAGTTTTATCACAAAATTGGACTTTTAACTAAATACACATAAATAAATTAACATCCCTAGATTTGAGTTAACATAGAAAATCTTCCCCTAGTTTGATTAACACTTTTAACTTGGACTTGCACTAAAAATGAAATGAATTAAGATGATGACCTCCCATACTAAAAATGAACACCAATGCACTGGTGGACAGTGTGATGGCAAGAATATCACGTGCCATTTGTGTGAAAATTGAATAACAATGTCCATTACAACGAATAAATCATTTACTCCCTCTTATCTCAGAATGACATGGTTAAACTTGGCATACATGCCAATTCATTCGTTTGGTCATATTATGAAACCTTATATTAATGCCTTTTTAAGAAAATATTTCATGATGAAATTTGTTTTTATTACATTACTAATAAAGTTATGGTCAAAGTTAATATATATATAAAAAATCAGGAAAGATTATTAAAAATAATCCCAACTTTTGTCGGTTCGCTAGGAATAATCCTAAATTTTTATTATTTTTTAATAATCTGAACTATAAGGGTCAGCCGCTCAAAATGGTCCCGGTGACGGGTAACCTGATAAAAAGGTTTTATTTATTATTTATTATTTTTAGGTTTCAGTGACAGTTGTTAGCCCGTTATATGTTGAAAAAAAGTTAAAAACAAAACAGAAAAAATAAAAATCCCACACCCAACACCGCGGCTACCACCACTGTTCCCGCAGCCCCTAGGCCCAGCCAGGTCATCTCGCCGGCGCCCAACCCCTCCCTGCTTCGACGTCGTCGACGCCGTTGACGCCGTCGATGCCCTCCCCCAATTCCTCACCTTTTTTTATCAACCCTAACAATTTTCCCCCAATTTTACAGTAATTTCTGAATTAATATTCATGGTCATTATCCTTCAGATGAGTCGTCGTCGTCTAAATCACCACCGAGAATTTCTCGATCTCAACTCAATGATATTCTTGTCGTGCTGCTTGTGGGGACGATTAGTGTGATTGGGTGGTTGTGCTAAAGCAGGTGCGGCTTGTGTCGCGCGCTGAGCGCAAGGTAAAATGGGGTAAGCGCTTAACTTGGTCTGACGAGGCGTTTTTGGTAAAGCGCAGCCTAAGCGCACCAAAAGCACACAAGGCGAGGCGCACTTGGAGAAATTTCTGCCAATTTTTCTTAACTGCTTGTACAGTAGGGTGCTCCTAGGCACTGCATGACCTTTCTCGCTTCAGCGCGCCTTGAGCTTTTTTATACATTGGGTGCGACAAGCTTCTTGTGGTGGCGATTTGGGTGGCTGCAGGGGTGCTAAAGGTTGTGCAACAATAAATTGTTGCGGGGCTGCGACAAGGTGGTTTCGTGGTTGATGCGTGTTTTTGTGTTTGTGGGCTCACCCAGCTAGGTGGGATGGAGGTTTTGGGAAAGGGTGTGGCCGGTGGTGGAGAGGGTGGTCTTGAGTGGCGTTAGGTTTCTTTATTTTTTAAAAGAAATTTTTAAAGTTTTTTTTTATTTATTTTATTTATTTTTTCCCAACCAATTATGTGATGACACATGTCACCTTAACCTGTTATAACAAGTTAGGTGACGGTTAGGACCATTTTAAGCGAATGACTACCAAAGTTTGGATTATTTAAAAATACTCCAAAGTTGGGATTATTTCGAGCGAACGACTCAAAGTCGGGATTATTTTTATCAATTTTTTCCAAAAAATTTAAAAAATAAATAAACATGTTAATTATTAGGGAGTATATCTTCTTCCTCTGCCCTTAATTATTCATTTTGATTCTTATCAAGCTCACTCCTCACATACCATCTTGTCTCTTTTAATCTTTAAGCTTTATCCATTAGATTTTTCATATAGTCTCCACCCTTTCTAATATAATCATCATCATGGTCTTTATTAATTTGGTCTTTAGATTTCGATATAAGAAGAATACATAGTTCTAAATTAACCAGTTACAAAAATAAGCTCTATTCATCAATATAAGTGAACTCTTTCACGTCATTGGAAAGCTCACCCTTTTCTTTCCTTATACATATCTTCTAGTGTCGATTCAACAATTTAACTTTTTGAGTGAAGATCAAGAATAATGATGTTCTAAGTTAACAAATTCATTTTCTACACATTCTCCTAGTGTTTAGCAAACTTATTTTTTTTATTGCAATAGCTGTAGCATAAATATCCAAATTCAGAATTTTTAATATTTATGTCATGAATAGAAGTAAACTTAAATTAACCTATCTTTGTTGTTTCATTAAGTGAACAAGGCCTACAATTTAGTTGATAAAACCCTTTTAAAAAACAAAACTAACCTCTCTGCTTTTTTTTTCCTCAATCTTTACAAGATTTAGGAGTCGTTTCATGCTTTTTCAAATCCCCTCCATTAGAAAGAGATATACCACTAAAATTACGCTAGAATTTCAAAGTCATATCTAACATTGTGTAGGTTGAATTTCACTGAGGAGGAAGAAGCTTTGCCATCTATATTACCCTTTTTCAGGAGAATTCTTAATCTATTTCAGTATATTTCTAACTCTATCAATGCATACCTTATATTCTCTATTGCCTTCCTATGCGATAAGATAGGCGATACATGTAATGTGAATATATTGTCCATCAATATCACATCCATTTCTTTAAACCATTTTTTTTTAAGTGTACACAAGCTAGCATTGTCAACCTTGATAATACGAGCTTATCATGAATATCCCAATTTTCTGTACATCTCTTAATTGCTCTTCCAATGGGCAATGGCCTCCCATTTGTGACTATCATTGAAAAAAATATTATACCTCCGCTTCACATTACTCGCAACAAAGTACATGTTTGCGGAGGCCGAGGCAAAATATTGAAAGCATGATTTTAGAAAAATATAGGGTATATGTTTAACTATTAATCTAACCAAAAAAAATAAAAAAATTCAACTTTAATTAAATTAAATACCCCCCACCCACACCACCAAGCAGCAACAGAAACCAACCACCACCACCACCCACCCAGTATATCACCAAAACCACTCAGCACCGAACCCAGCACCACCTACGCACCCAACACCACCCACGAACACTCCATAGCACTGACCACCCATCACCGAACCTAGCACCGCCACCCAACACAACCACCCAGCACTACCACCCAACACCGACGCGTCCAACACAGCCCACGAACCCTCCAATCAAGACCCCAAAACCACCGTACCTTGCAGCAATCGAAACCAAAATCCCAATCCAACCCACGATTCCCTAAAACCCCAATCAAACCCAGAACTAGCAATCGAACCCAAAACCAAAATCAAACCCATAAACCGATACTGAAACTGAAACTAAACCCACAATCGAAACCAAAACCGAACCCTCAATCAAACCCGCGACGCACCCACAAACCTAGCAACCACGAACAAACCTTCGACGAACCCAGAAACCCTTCTCTATCATCAATTAAAGCTTGAATTGGTTAAATTTAACTATCAAAACTCTTCAAAACTCAAGATCTAGAGTTTTGATGGTTAAATTTGACAATAAAACCTTTGAATTTAGGTTTTATTGCCAATGGGGAAACAAAAAGCCAAGGAAGAGAGAAAATGAGGTGGCGATGTTGGTGGTGGTTTCCATTAAAGCTAGTGGTGGTGGTGGTGATGGTCGGTGGTAG